ACATGAACACTGCACTGAGAGAGAGAGGGGTTCATACAGACACACCGACTGGACACTCCAGTACATGAACACTGCACTGAGAGAGAGAGGGGTTCATACAGACACACTGACTGGACACTACAGTACATGAACACTTACTGGACACTCCAGTACATGAACACTGCACTGAGAGAGAGGGGTTCATACAGACACAGTGGGAATGAACTGTGTTCAGTGTGTGATCACAGGGGGACAGTACAGTGTTCGGTGTGTCCTCAGCGGGGGACAGTACTGTGTTTAGCGTGTCATCACAGTGGGACAGTACTGTGATCAGAGTGGGACGCTAGTGTTCAGTGTGTCATCAGAGGGGGACAGTACTGTGTTCAGTGTGTCATCACAGTGCGACAGTACTGTGTTCAGTGTGGCATCTGAGAGGCACAGTTCTGTGTTCAGTGTGGCATCTGAGAGGCACAGTTCTGTGTTCGGTGTGGCATCTGAGAGGCACAGTTCTGTGTTCATTGTGTCATCAGTGAGACAGTACTGTGTTCGGTGTGTGATCCCAGTGGCACAGTACTGTGTTTGGTGTGTGATCCCAGTGGGACAGGACTGTGTTCGGTGTGTGATCACAGTGGGACAGTACAGTGTTCGATGTGTGATCAGAGTGGCACAGTAGTGTGTTCAGTGAGTAATCACAGTAGGACAGTACTGTGTTCAGTGTGTAACTACAGCAGGACAGTACTGTGCTCAGTGTGTGATCAGAGTGGGACGCTAGTGCTCAGTGTGTGATCAGAGTGTGTTCACTGTGTGATCACAGTGTGACAGTAGTGTGTTGAGTGTGTGATCATAGAGGGGCGCTAGTGTTCAGTGAGAAATAATAAATAATAAAGTAAATAATAACGACGTAACGTGGTTTTCGGCACGTCTACCTAGGCTGCAGCTACTCCTGCATTATGTTTCATGTAAAAGTCTTAGCTTAGATTTTGTTTGCAAAAGACAAGCAAAATCTTTAAATGCAAATAACAAAAACTAGACACAACCGCAGTCCATACGAGGCCCCCTGCTACACTTTCACTGTTAATTCATTAAAGCCCATATTATCTGTG